TATTGGAGGGACTTCGCAGCGATGTTGCTGTATACTGGCACACCAGTTACGATTACGTGACATCTTGAACTTTCGTGCGTGGTCCTGTTGCGAAACCAAGCAACGTAGACAGATAGGCGGCTGCCAAAGCATCGGAAGGTGCAAGAAACATGTAGCGAGCCAGGAAACGGGTTCTTTCAGAGGGGAGGGGGGACTGGAAGCAGAAAGCTGGAATGTGCGAAGTCACAACAGCCACAGAGTGCCAAGCGGACGAGAGAGTGTAGAGAAAAACGAAAGATCGACGCGTTCAAAGGGATTGAGTTTACACGTTGACGACCGCGCTGTACTTTTTCGGCCTCGTGGGACACGCGCCTTTCTCGAATGCCACAAAAACGCGGTACGCATACAATTCACGCGGACCCACGAGGCGCTTTTTTGGAGATTGCATTGAAAACTTGGCTGAGAGAGCAATTATGAAGTATGTCAATTATCCACTATGGAAAAAACTAGGCTGGTCAACTCTCGTTGCACTAGGTGCCAGAAATTAGTCTGTAACCAATGTTCTCATAAAAAACACAAGTCGTGCCTTCTACAGGACTCAGAGTCCTTCATCTTACATTTTTTAATCATTACAATATAGTATTAATTTGCATTTGATAGTAAAGTGCTGAAGAGCAAACCAGTTCAGAGTTGAGGAACAAACTAGTCCAGGAAATGGTGTTCTTTCCCCAAGAAGTCTTTGCTAAACTAGTGTGTACTGAATTATTCCATAGACTACGCGCTGTACAAGTATACTAAGGATTGAACTATAGAATGAACATGGGAAACTAGACAAAAAGTCATGCACTAGTGAAATATATGGATTTGTTGATCGTGGTTCGTATTGAATGCACGCGGTCCCACGTGGCCTTCTAAGCGTGCATTCAACGCGGTCGTCAATGTGTTAAGTTGTCCATATACCCAGCAGTTATGGCACCAGCCCACATAAATCTACTAGAAACACGGATGATGTCATGCATGATTTCATTCAGAAACACTCAGTTTCCTCCTATTGTTTGGCTAGGCGAAGACCGCGTGTGGCGATGGGGCTACACAGAAGATTACGGGTCCATTCCAAATGAGGTCCATTCTCCTTTTCATCGTATTAGCTGCCGCAGTTTCAGAAGATTCGTGTCTGGAACCGAGGAGCTGCGCGAAAGGTGGACATTTTTAGTTATTAGTGCTGAATACCCTGTAGACTGGAGCTGTCGCCAAGTGAACGAAAATTAATCCTGAAGCTTTGAGAGTTGCCGAACTTTTTTCCGGACTAATATATGTGTTTGAGTTCCAGGTAACGTGCAGCCACAAGAAGCTAGAGTTGGTGTGAGACTAAGAAGACTGGGACTAGATAGGCCAAGGAAGACCTCTGTTGACGCAGAAAGAACTCTCAGGCCCATGTAAACACCTGGTGCTAGAAGCATTTGCCCCAGTTGTTGAAGTTGATCGTGTCGCTTTAAAAGAGAAACTGGTCCGCAATCTCGGTACTTTTGGTTTTGGTAGTCAAAGTGTCGCACGACTTTTTTCCAGCCTGATCAATGAACTCGGTCGACCTGAAAGATCGCTTCTCAGGTAGCGGAGGTTTCCAATTCGATAACTCCGCAATGCCAGTCTACGAACGATTACGCATTCTCTTCAAAATTCAGTCGAAGACCACTCTTTACCAATGCGTGCTATTCTTGCAGCTACTCTCGTGGTGATATCTGCTATCTGCTACCAAGGCAATGCCGAGCTATTTCGCGTGTGTCAAGAAAGCAAAACTTTATCCCACGGTAGTGCGGAAGTCACTGATGTTGACATAAAACCGCCGGCAAAACTGAGCCGTGTTCGTTGAGAGGTCCAATCGCCCAAATACGATTAAAGATGATTTCTGTCTTACTGTTTGTTGTCCCTTGACGTTCATTTTTCGAAGATGAACTGTTTTCACCGCAAAACAAACCTCCGTAAAAAAACATAATGGAAAAGGCAAACAAGCAATAAGACGTTAGACAGAAAGTATTCGCCATGTGGAAGTTATTCGGTTGGCAGCTGCAGTAACGTGCCTTTTTTCTCCGCTCATAAGTGCACGGGAACGGGCTTGGAAGTGATATCCGAATGCCGTCTCACGTCTCCATACTCACTATCCTCCAGGTGCAGCGCTTGCGTGGACAATAAAATATCGCAGCGACACCAAGTCAGAGGCAGGAAACAGCCAAAAGTGAGAGGGCGCAGACAAGCTGTGCGCTTGGCTATAATTAAGCGTGTGGTTGGCCATACGGAGCGCGTAAATCGAGAAACTGCACAGGGGCATGGTACCCTTCAGATTCACCGTCGTGCCACTTTTGAGCGGAGAAGTACAGTTCGTCCTTGACAGACAGGGCTCAGTGCTCGCACTTCTTTCTCGTTGGGAACAGTGACTTTCTCATGTTCTACCTGACTTAATCGTATATAGTGCAGTTCGCTGCGGACGGTTGGGCGTGTCAGGCGGGATGAGTCTGGCACGGTGCCAAACCCGTTTTCCACCAGTTTTCAAAGCGAGAAAGAGATAAGACTGAATCATACCGTCCCCTCGTTTTCTACCACTGGTTGTCACATGCGCGCTTCAGCAAGAAGGCAGAGAGTGGCTTTGACGGTGTGACCCATACTGCCTCACACGCCCCACTGTCTGCAGCGAATTTGAGTATACTCTCTTGACACACGCTGGAAATAGCGTTTTCAGCAACTTTACGATACGAAGAAGTAAAATTTTTTTAAGCATGACTCGGTGGAGTCAGTTTTTTTTTCCGGTTGTTGACTTTTCGCATGGTTTTTTGGTTATTCCTGTTTCATGTGTACCTTTTCCGGACGGGGTTCGAACCGAACCACCATATCACACATCACGATGCTGTACTCTGTTCTGAACGAGTAAGATATTTCGATATAAAGCTTGTAGTTTCAACAATGCGACCATCCTTTTCGACCGACCGACCTTTTCGCGAATAGAGGGGCTCATTGGGTAGCTCCCGCAGTGGGCAGAGACAAACACAACAGCAGACACAAAGGAAAATGAGCACATGCTTGTGAGAAGCCATCTCTTAAACCTGTAAGGAATTTCAGGACACTGTCCGGCGAAATTAATGAGTCTTCAGCACAAGCTGCTGGCAAATATTGCCGTGGACTTCTCCAAGAAAGCAATTTTAGGGCCGAGAGGATAATGTGGTGGTGGAAGCTGCATCAAGTAGGGATGGACCAGCTCCGTCGGATGATACTGGAAACCAGTTTCCCAGGTCTTCGCGGACAAGCACAGGGACGTGGATCAACGCAAGAGAGATTGCCCTACGACTCGCAATGGAAACACTACGAGAGACGAGAGTCGACCGAGAGGAGACGAGGTAGTGTTGAACGAGGATCCCCTTCGGAGGAACAAGCGTCCAAGTGATGGCAAAAGATAGGAAACCTAAGAGGCCTAGGTTTCTAAGAACCCTAAGGCAGCAAAGACGCAGTTGTAGATTGCGGAAGTGAATGCCTTTCACAACACCTTGTACAGCCGAGAGACAAATAGCATTGTCTCCTGACCGGCTTAAAGACACATGGTACGTTCAAACACATTGAGGGTGTATGGACTATCAGCCCCAGCTGTCGATGTGTCGTGGTCCCCCCGCCCAAAACTGCACGGGGTCAGAGTACGGGACCATGGGAAAGTCGTAATTCCTTGCTACGCCGCCCGTTTTTGCAAACTCACGTTTTTACTAACATCGTTCGCGCGGCGCGGTCGCGTGCAGCTCTCTTGGCTTTTTGCCAGGTCCTGTGATTGCGCTTTGGAATACAAGTACAACGCAATTTCTTTATGCGGATAACATTTCAGGTTCTGCAAAATAAGAACTGAAGATGATGAGGAGGGCTAGAACTCAAGAGCAACTGTGCTGCTTCTGCAACAGCCCTCGCGGGTCGCGCATTCCCACAAAACATCAAAATAAAAACGGCCTAAGCGTCCCACTCATTAGTTTGAAGTATTTGTATAGCAGTACAGCCGGATTCGAGCCGGATCGCAGAAATACACACGTGATTTTAACTTATTGCGTTTCCTTAGTTTTATCAATTTTGTTTTATTTACATCTACATTCGCTGTTGTTCATTTCTAGCCTTTTTCATCTTCATCACCTTCTATTTGGACTTTGAACCATGAGCAATACCTCAAATGTTAGGAAATTGCGTTTTGCTTGTATTGTCAATTGTCCGTTTTTATTGTCATGTTCTGTGGGAATGCGCGGACCCTGAGGGATATTGCAGAAGCACCACAGTGCTCTTGAGCCCTCGTCATCCAGCACCTAAAATGTTATCCGCATGAAGAAATTGCGTTGTACTTGTATTCCAAAGCGCAATTGCAGGACTGGCAAAAAGCCAAGAGAGCTGCACGCGACCGCGACGCGCGGATGGTGTTAGCATAAACGTGAGCGCGGTGTAGCAAGAAATTACGACTTTCCCACGGCCCCGTACTCTGACCCCGTGCAGTTTTGGGCGGGGGAACCACGACACATCGACAGCTGGAGGGCTGATAGCCTCATACACCCTCAATGTGTTTGAGCGTACCATGTGTCTTTAATGCAAGCTCTAGAAATGAATATCCTCATAATAAAAATTTTCAAAAGGAACCAGAAATGGAGAATTGGCCGCATCCTATTGTCAAATAATTGAAAAAAAGCAGTGCGCTTATTCACTATGCCGTCGGCCGCTTGCGGTAACTAGTTATTGCTCCCAACCTGTGCGAACAGAGCAGAGAATAAATGATCCGGAACTCCCTTCAGAGAATCATTCCACAAATTCCGAGGGCAGGTTTGAATTCAGCGGCTCAAGACATGTCCATATAAATACATCTCATTGCAAATGGCCGAATCAACCTGTTCGGGTTTCCTTGTCAGTATTCTTGCTATAACTTCCACAGCTGACGCAAAGAACAGTTATCACAGCAAAACAACTCAAGGCGGGTGGCATAAGTAATAATCGCGCATTAAAAACAAGGCGACTATCTATTTTTCAACAATACCTGTATCTAGAAGGTGATCCTTTTGGTTATTTTCAATTTCCTTGCGCACCTCCTTGAGCACTACTTGACGTGACAGAGACCTCAAATATAATCGTTGAGGAAGAAGTTGACTCAAAAAAAAGTTACCTGGCATGGCGTGGGAAGTCTTGCGACAACTGTGCAAGCACTTCGAGGGCATTTTCCCCCTGCTCGTTTATGATGCGCTGTGCAGCCTGAGATATAGTCATTAATGGTAAAAATGACGAAAAAAAACCCAAAAAAACTGCTCGGCTATTTCTTTGATCATTATCGAAGAGATCCTCTGTGCAATTTAGTGCCTTTGCTCATCTTCAGGCACTAAATTTGCACCACGCAAAATTACGGCATACACGTACAGTACGTGACACATTTGTATTGCTTTGCATATTATGTTAGGTTGGACAGTGATTAGTGGAACATTCATTCTTGCACATTCAACCTCATTATTCGTACGTCTCACAAGGATAATGGTGGGATGAAGTGACCATTCAAAATGAGGTGCACGCTGACTGAGAGGTCTTCGGACGGGGATTACGAAACGAAACCGTCTTCTATATCTGCTGCGGACCTCCCAGAACAAAGTTACGGAGCCTTTCCAGGGAGAGCATACTCGCACTCTATACGAATTAGTGACGAACAATTTCTCTCGGAGAAGCATGGCCGAGTGGTCGCGTAGCAGGTTTCATGAATGCATGATTTAGGGTTTAGGTAATTGATTCGAGTGCCTTTTTGCATTTTTTCGAAAGTAGTCTCTGTGCATTTGAGAGCGCTTTTGTATAACTCTTGTGACGTTATGTTTAATCAATGGAGCCTCTAGCTTATTTTCACAACAAGAATGCACTCCAACGAATGAGTTCGCCCTAAAAAGGGGTTTATTCTCCAAACGACATGGCTGGAATCGACACCACACGAAGTTCTGCCGTGTATATTTGAAATATGCTTCCAAACGACGTGACGTTGATGTCGCAACCTTGTCGGAAGTGCTGATGCCGAAAATATCCATTTACCACTCACACAGAGTTGAACGATACTCTGTCCGAGAGTGGTGGTTCGCACCTGCTGGAAGTCTTCGCTTCATGTGACATTCTACGAGTACCAACGAGGAAGGAGCAGAAAACTATTAACAACCTCGCCACATTACGTCACGACAGTATAAAGCACAAGAGCTGTGCTAAAAAGGTTTCCAAAGTCCAGTTCCGGAAAATATGCAAGAGAGCAAAAGCATCAGACCATCGACCGTGCATTTGTAAGATTACAACGCAACCACTCGCCCCCGCTGCTTTGGATGAAGCTATCTTACGCTACTAAATCGTGTCGAATGCGAGCATGCAACCCCCCAAAAGAGTTCCGTAACTTTGTTCAGGGAGGGGGGGGGGATCCGCAGCAGAAGCAGGTGGAAGACGGTTTCGTGATCCTCGTTCAAATACATCTCACCACGCTTCCCTTTCAGTTTTAATAGTGGAGCTGTACTGCAGCAGACAGAGGAAAACGCCCTTGACGCTCGGCTAGCAGTACAACATGATTTTCTTGGATTCCGGCAGAAGCACTGGAACTCTTCCCCCGGCTTCGGGAAGTGTAGCATGATTAGTTGGTGAAAGACACACTTCTCTTCCTCTGTACCACATACTTTGACCATTCATCACCCCAAGGGAAGTTGAGAAGAGTGTTGCTGATGCCGGAGTTCATCCTTACTAAGTGAGGGATTTAATAAGGGAGGTCTTTCAGGTGTGGCGCACTTTTCAGAAATGGTTTGTTGCATGTTATAAGGGTCCATATGTGGATCACAAAAATGGGTTTCGTTTTTGCTATGCATTTCTGGGAAGGTCAAAAAATGAGTGAAAAGTTTGCTGAGGAAAAGCGAGTTTGAACCATTTTCCTAGGCTCCTTTCCATTTCTAATGCCTAGCAAATGAGCCTTCGTCGGCACTGCATCGAAAACAATACAAGCGTACTTTATTTGGCACACAGTGAGGTAGCATTGTAGTTTCTCAAGTGATTCGCGCCGCATCCCAAAGCGCAGTTAGGGGGTGGGGGGATATTCAGAGCCTCGTTGGCGCCAAATGATCTAGGCTCCAATTATAAAGGTCAGAACCGTGATCAGGGCCGTTAATAACCCCTATATACAGACTTTCAGCAAAAATTTTCTCCTCGAGCTGTTCGAGCTATGATGGTTGGTCTTGTTGGACTGGTGGCTTTCAGTATCCTGTAAAAGTTGTTACCCAACTTCGATACCTGGACCTATCTATTTACTCGTATATACCCTCATAACTAGCAAATATATTTTGAAAAGGGACATTTATATGTATTGCACAATATCTTCCCCTGGAAAGTTAAAGTGGAGCCAGTTACGCTTGGTGCCCTGATCGGGGTGCCACTGCCAATCAAGTGGTCGATCCATTATCTCCAAATTCTCCAAAATTTTTTTTGCTGGAAGTTCGTATACAGGACTAACTGGTAGTTCCGCTCACGATTCTGCCACTTATTTTATTTATGCGCCGAGGCCACTTGACGCCAGCATGGCACTTAACAGCTCCTACAACGATTTCACTGCAAGAATGCTCTTGCAGCAAATCGCCTAGGTTTCACCGTGGTTAAAATTGAGTGTCGTACTCGTGAACAGAGCATCCAGTCATCCCCGTAGCCCAAATTTCAGCAAGAATTTCCTCAATAATGTTTCGAAAGCGCAACAATTAAGTAGGGTTGGCTCGGGACTTTGAATGTACAGAATGAGGTCTCAAATAGCATATATTCATGTTATATACATCATCACACACGCAGGAACACAAGGAACGGAAATCCAAAAAATGCAAAAAGTATCCGAAAAATGCGGAAAGGTCGGAAAGGTTGTTACCAAGAGGATCCGATCCACAAACCTCCTTCTAGAGAGCCCACCGCACTACCCACTCTGCCGTCCGTCGACCAAGAACAACGGTTGCGAGAATCGTTGAAGCAACTTCGGCACTACTTCTCTCCACACTTTCTTTTTGACTTTATTTTGCGCTCTTTTCGATACATTCTCAAGGAACACCTCATAAACTATGCACTTCGAAGTTACAGATACAAAAGAGCCCAATAAGACGGTTAGGATAGCCCTTTCTTGTCAAATTGTTTCACTCAGTTTTTGACCTCCACAGAAAAGTATAGCAAAAATGGGACCCATTTTTGTGATCCTTGTATGGACCCCTACAAAAAGCAAAAAAAAAGCGCGCCATGACCTGAAAGACCTCCCTTGTAAGTGTGAGGAAGACGTAGAACGACGCCAACAACAGCCAGCCACGGACTACAATGGTAGCAGATGATGTACTCAGCATGGGCTGATATGATAACAGGTAGTATCGAGCTAGCAGGTTAACTAAATAAGTTCTCGCAGCTCAGCCTCCAAATTGTCCCACAACAGATTGGCCAAAGTAGCTTCTTAGAAAAAGTAAACAAGCTACAGCAATAATATAATATATACCCCAGCAACATCGGACGATGGAATTCGAACTTCACGCAGACCCTCTGACGTTTAGCCTGAATCCATAGAGACGCAGGGAGCTACGGCAGGGACGGCATAAATGACGCCTATATGCAAATTCAGGTGATAGCCAATCGACTTTAAGGTACATTCGAGATTGGCCGTTGAAAATATCGTAGGTAGCGACCCCAAGAAAGGAATACAGAGGAAGTCGTAGAAAACGCCCTGAGTGACGCCCTTCCTGTTTCAGAGGCGGAATTCGCAGGAATGTCTAGCGGTAGGCCAAACAAGAACAAGTAGGAATAGAAGCGAAACAATGAACAAGAACGTGGAGCGGGACCACTTGCGCTCAGGCGGCACCAGAGAAGACATTTGAGCCACCCTGCGCTTTAATGCCACCTCTTCACGGCTCTGATACGAAATTGGTACAAATGTATGGAGGTATGCACGATTATCTGCGAGGTGGACTCCTTCCGTTAGGCGTTTCCTTAGCTGCAGTACTGTATTTGTCGCGCCGACGACAGAGTGCAACGATGCTCGGAGAATGCAAAAGCTAGCTGTTCTTCATGTCTCCACCCGCTATTCGATAGATAATGTGCGGAAGACCGGTGGCGAAGTGTTGAGCTATGTAGGGCAAAGGCGCATGATTTTTGCGCACTGACAATTTGTCCTGCACAAGCCAGTGGGATTTCTACAAAAGACAATACTGTTGCAAATGGGTAACTGGAATTCGGTTTACCTCTTAAAGGCACATTCCGCATTAATCAAGGCTATAGCTTTTTAAATGTGTCAGATGATCCGGTGGGCGACTGTAAAGGTTGCGCGCGTTCAAAATCTGAAACACGCAAAGCACAGGAAACTTGGACCTTCATGTACTGACAAACCGTCAACGGATCAATCTGATCAGTCAGTCTGGAGTTTTGCCGAGCTCGCAGAAAGTGAGCAGATTGGCTTCAATTGCTACCGGGAGAAGTTTTCCAACGTCGTAGCGATCTGGCAAGACCACTATGTCTGCGACGGGCTGAGGCGTAGTCTGATCCTAAAGCACTACAGACGGCGCAAAAAGTGTATTCTGGTCTCCAGGTGATCAAATGCTGGAGTGTGCGAATCACTCCCATTGTAGGCGGAGCGTGCGCCGAGGTGGGCGGAGCGAAAAAAAAACTCGCAAAACGGTCCAGACCACTTCAGACTCCGGAAAAAAAAAGTTCAAAATCAGCGAGGGGTCATTGATTGAGAAGCGAGAGGCTACGTTGTAGGCGGAGCGTACCCGAGGTGGGTGGAGCGAAATTAAAATCCGTAAAATGGCGTCAGAGCACTCCTGACACCCTGCTTTCGTATGATCAAATGCTCGACTAATACCCGGCTTTTCTCTCATCTGTCCACTTGATCAACGCTCTTTACCACCATTCCATACACTGTTAGAGTGTTGAAAATAGCAGGCATCATGCTATGGTCAAAGAATGTTGACCTTCGTTCAGATGAAAGAAAAGCCGGATACTAGGTGGGTACTGAAATGTGTGGAAGAAGTTAGGCGCGGGCGCGCCCGCCCGGCGAAGTGCATCTTTGAATTTACGAGTGCCAGGTTTAGACGGAACCACGTCACGTTACATCAATCTATATTAACGCCTCAAACGAAGGCGCCATGCAGGATACCATCAGACTACTTGTGAACATCAGCAATCAAAAATATGTACTGCCTCTCCACCATCCGCGTAATGATACTTGTAAAAGTGTCTCGACGTCCATTCTCAGG